AGAAATCATAATCATCCCTTTTAATTACTTATAATCGAAAATCGAAAATACAAAAACATAAAAATAGAAACTGAAACCCTAATCTCCTCCGGCGGCGACTGTAAAGGCGATTTCGCGACGAAGGAGACGATTTCGGCGGCGACGAAAGCTTTTCGGCCACTCATCTCGTAAGTCTTGACGTCTGGGTTAGTTTGTCGTCGCGAACAAGTTTTGACTTCGGTTTTTGCGACGGTTGTGTTTGGGTTTTACTCGCGACGGTTGTGTTTGGGTTTCAATGGTGGTTTCGCGCTAACGTCGGAAGAGAACTCCATCTTTTCGTTCGTAGTCGAAAACCCTTTACCCAGAAATCGTAACCCTTTGCTTTTTCTTTTCAGGGAAGTATTATCGGCGGGTTCCGTCTTTCGAGAACGGTTTCTACTGAGCCCAGACGATTTCCGGCGACCAATTTCTGTTTGTAGTGGTTCGGTTTTAATTTCTTTTTGGTAGACTTTCAGCAGTTGGTTGCAGTTGTTCGATTTGTATATGCTTAACGGTAGATTTATTCGTGTTTAACGGAGTTTTTTTCTATGTGTGGTAGATTTGTTTTCGTTTCATTGTCTGGTAGTATTGTTGGTAGAGTTATTGTTGAGATTGTATTGGTAGATTTAGTTGATTTCGAGTTTGGTTTCGAGTTTGGTAGAGTTATATGTTATAGTTGCTCCCGGGTTTGGTAGATTTTATATGATAGTTGATTTCGAGTTTGGTAGACATGTTCATGGTAGACGCGTTTGGTAGACATGTTCATGGTAGACGCGTTTGGTAGACTTATGTATTCTATATATGCTAGTAGATTTGTGTTCTTTATTTGTTTATTTGGTAGATTTGTGTTCTTTATTTGTGGTAGATTTGTGCTAGTTTTGGTAGATTTGTTAATGTTTTGTGGTAGACATGTGTTTGTTCATGGTAGATTTGTTTCGATGTCTTGTAGATTTGTAAGATGTTTTTATTTGTTTGCAGACATGGCTTCAGCTAGCGGCTCAAAGGATTATCCCCAAAGATTGTACCCAGAAGGCAAATCTCCTGTGCTGAAGAAGAGTTGTCATCATAACTGCAAGCTTCATGAGTTCATCATGATGATCAGGGATCACCTTGGGGAAGATATTTACGACGACATCATGAATAATTCTCAAGTTGGCGTGCTACTGAAGCTTGCATTGTCTTCGTTCATATGGAGTGCTAAGACGGTTCAGTATTTTGTGAGCAACCAACTGAAGGTGGATAGGAATCATGAGTTTTGGACTCTTATTGGAGGTCGCCCGGTCAGATTTTCACTCTTAGAGTATGCTGAAATCACGGGGCTAAACTGTGACCCAATTGATCCCAATGACAAGGTGGAAATAGATCACACCGAATTTTGGGCCGAGATTGGAGTGAGAGGTGGGGAAGGCCCCAATTGGAATGAGTTAGAAGCTCGGATGAAAACTTGCCAAGCATGGACTTATGAGAAGAAGAAGATGTTGGCGTTGCTTTTCATTTTGCATGTTGGTGTATTGGGACTTCACCGCAACAGTCGAATCCCGTTGACTTTAGCCAAAACAGTTATGGATGAAGCAGCTTTCGAGAGACAGCCGTGGGGTCGTTATGGATTCCATGAACTAATTTATTCCCTCAAGATTGCTAACTTGGGGGGAGCACGATACACTCTCCACGGATGTGTACAGGCAATGCTTGTTTGGGGTTATGAGTGCATCCCTATATTGGCTGAGAGAGCAGGGAAAATACGCCCCGATGTAGATGACTCGGTTGTTCCTCTTCTTAGGTGGACTTCATCACGGTGTCGTAATGTTTTCGAGACTCTTTTGGAGATGGATAAGAGTGAAACCGAGGATC